GCGGTCTCCTTCTGCGAGGACGTTATGCTCCAAAAGGAGGCCGCAGAGCGGGATCGGGAGAGGGCCGATCCCGCTCGAAGGAGGCGGCGAAGGGGACGCGGCAGAGGTCGCTAACTCCCCAATCGCCGCCTAAGGGTCACTGCGGCCACATCTTGGGGCGATGTGACCGCTGTAAACGACCCGAGACGGATGACACTCCGGTGCGGCCGGGGGGGTGTCGTCTAAGGCGGGACGCCGTTGCGCCTTTTACTCTGTAGAGCAGTGAGAGGCGCGATAGCGTCCTGCCCCAGGGTGACTACGGTCACTCCGGGATGTGCCTCAGACATGAGGTACGGCAGGGAGGACTCCAGAAGTCGCCGATGCGTTCCTGGAGCTCCTCCCGACTGCCGAGGTAGGCCGCCGCGGGGTTTAGTGGGTAGACCGGTTCTCCGGGAGTCCCACACACGCCCTGCGTTTCCCCAACGGAGGGTATGGTGCGAAAAGCATTCCCCGCGTGAAAAAAAAAAAAAAAAAAAAAAAAAAAAAAAAAAAAAAAAGGTATAGTCTGTCTACAAGGTAAAATAAACTTTCAGCAAATACCATTTGTTTGTTGCAATGGCTCGGTTGTACCTTACAGTGAAAAGGTAAAAAACTTGGGGATCTATATGGATAGGTACCTATCCTGGGGCCCCCAGGTTGGAGAAGTTAGCCGAAAACTATTTGCAGCGGCAGGATCTCTGCGAAGGCTACGGAACTTTCTTCCCTAAAATTGCGCTCGCACAATCTCTTCTTCTTCCTATCCTTGAATATGGCGATGTCAGCTATCTGGATCTCACCGAAGACCAACTGAATAAACTTGAGCGACTCCAAAACCTATGTATTAGATTCATATTTGAATTACGCAAATATGATCACATCTCAGAGTATCGTTTTAAACTCAAGTGGCTACCAATACGCTTTCACCGGAATCTTCATATTTTTTCTCTTTTATACAGTGTTCTGTTTCATCCTCGCACACCCTCTTATCTCAAAGAACGTTTTCAGTTCTTACACAACACACTTTGCAGGGACCTAAGGTCATCGGAGAATTTAAAACTAAAAATGCCGCAACATTCCACCCAGTTTGCGAACAAATCTTTTACTGTGCAAGCAGTAAGAATTTAGAACAACTTGCCTTTGACAATCCGACAAGCTAAAACCTTGCCCACTTTCAAAAAGCTAGTGAAGGATTTTTATCTGACATTATAAATACTGTTGGTTTCTTTATATATAGTATATATTTTGGACAGTATATATATATATATGTTGTGTGTATGTCTATTGAATATGTATATATGAATATGTATATGTATATTTATAAATTTTGTTTATGTATGTGTGTATGTATGTATGTGTATTTATCTATGTGTAGTGTGAACAGGTATTTATTTGTGTATGAATGCTTTTGTTTATATTTTAAATATTCACGTGATATGCGTTTTGTGTATGTAAACTACCCAACTTTTAAATAACTAATATCCGTATCAAGGTTGTCTGGAAGAGATCGCCGAGAGAGAGCGATAAGACCGCCGATTGTTACGTCTATAAATTTGTAATGTCTTATGTGCTAACTGTAAACAATAAAGATATAAATAAATAATAAAATAAAATAAATAATTTGTCGATTCGTATGTTTATCAGCAATTATGAATTTAAAATTAGTATCGATAAAAGTAATAACCAACAGTGACGTCTCTCAGATGTGCGTTGAATGTTTAACCTGCGTTTTCTGTTCATAACGGCTATAGTTTTTTTTTTTGAAACCAACTAACCTTCCATCAGGCACTCGCGGCATTATAGAGTTCTTATAATTCCGCATAGTCTCCAATTGGAGTTTTTTTAAATTAAAAAGTTAAATCGTCTTTATGTTCGTCCGTCTGTCTGTTTGCAAAAAAAACATTTTTAATTGATTCTCGAACTCCGCCCGCTTGTGTCGGTTAGCGCGGTAAAAACTAAAAAGTGGCCTTTATTACTCACTGATATAGAGCAGCGGCGTACTGTGTTGCTCTATGCTCACTGATAATGTACCTTGCCATCGGAGAAAGAGTTTTAAGATCGGTTTAGTGGTTTAAGCGGGAGAGCGTAACAAACAAATTAACTCACGTTCACATTTATAACATAAAAGTTTTATTTAAATAACATAAGTTTAGTTTGAGATAAATTATAAATATAAATTTTATTTATGAATTCGCTAGTTTTAAATTTAGAATTCAGCGCCTATTGATATAAACGTCGTCTCTCTCGCTCTAACATATATGTGCGTCTTAATCTCTCCGTCCAAGGTGGATGTGAATTGTGAAGTGAGGCGCAGAATGTTATCAAAATGTACAGCAATATTTTTCAAGGAACTGATTGTAAATAAGAACTTAGTTTTAAATATAATTATTCTTTAATATGTGTAATTTATAAAGTTAATGTGTGAGAAACCAAAAAACGTAATGGCGTTTTACTTAGTACGTGTTTATACTTTTTAATACTATTTCCACTTTGTTTACAAGTACGTAAGTATAACCTATAAATTTAGTTTACACATTCAGAAAACAAAACAAACAAACAAACAAACAAAAAACACCGAAAGTATTGCATAAAACCGTTTTTCTGTGAGGCCGTGGTATCCGTATGGTCGAGCTCGTCCATTTATGCCGCGCCATGGCTCTCTGACGAAATTTTGTCTATTGTCTGTCTATTGTTATTTTAGCCAACAAATAATATATATGTACTATAATTTTGCCTATAATAACGACTCTACGAAGGCATTCATTACAAGTAGACGTATGAATAAAAGATGGAAAGTAGTTTGTTCCTTAATTGGCGTATAACACTCTTCAATCACCCTTGTACTGTACCTTTATTGACTGAGCATAATACAAGACTATTCGTCGTAAAAAAAGATGTAATGTTTGTTTCTTTGTTGAAAATGTGTACATAAATACCGTATTTATGTCACGCCTTGAGGGCATTGACTCTAAACGGCAGACTTTAAAAACAAGATACAAGCTCGTGTATAACTACACCGATAACTCAGGTGGTCAACTCCACTGTGTGTCATATGACAGGACCTTTAAGACCAAGTTGTGGCTCGCCAGATATATCAGCGGCCATATCAGAAATCTACAGTAACGTTCGCCATCGACGGTTACGCTATCGCGGAGGACATCATGTCACGTCTGTAGAAGCGATAAAACACCTCCCTTCATCATTCATCTGGCATTCCATACGTTGAAGAGACATGTAATGTTCACATGACGGGCCTGTTGGTCTAGTGGTTAGTGGTTCAGACCGCTAAGCCGGAGGTCGTGGGTTCGATTCCCACCCAAGACAAATACTGTGTGATGAGCACGGTCATTTGTTCTGTGTCTGGGTGTAATTTATCTATAATATGTGTGTATTAAAAAAAAAACAAAAAAAAAAAGTACAGGCTCTGTCTAGTTTGGGATCAGACGACCGTGTGTGAGATACATTGAGATACATACAAAAATAAATTGTTTCATTACATGTCATGCCAGGCTCGACCGGAGTGATACCACGGCACGGTCTTACGGGAAATTGGTGTTAAGGACTTTCGTTGCTTTTTACTGAGTCATTGAGGTTAACCGAGCCCCAACCAGGGGGAGGCGTTGGGGCTCCGTTGACTTCCCCTCTTCCCTCTCTTTGTTTAGACTTTTAAACAGCGAAAATGTGGCAGACTTCCTTCTAGCTTCCAATATGGACGAAATCGGATCATTCGATGATATTTGTCTTAATCTAAAAACTTACTAACACTATGTTACATATCTTCACGTGGTTATTTTCTGAGGGGTAAAGAGATCACGCAGAGTCTATACAGAGGCGTATTAAACGTCCACATTTTGTCGCGGATCTGATAATCCAGATGGGACTATCTAGGATAAATATTCGAAACAGACATCACACACAATCTTTTGTTGTATAACTGGGTGTAATTTATCTATAATACTAGCTGTACTAGCGAAAAATAGATAAAAACAAACTTTGAAGCGGTTTTTGAGATCACAAGAACTTTTTGAGATTTTCAAGCGTACGCAAACCAACTTTATATTTTAATATTTAAACTATTAAATATTAACATCATATATATCAACTAGTACATCATATATACTAATGTATAAATGTATTTTATATCATAGATTATTTGATAGATTTTTGAAAATGCTTAAGAATGTTTCTTTAGGAATATATGTGGCCGGTTGGAGGCAATAATGTATATCCCTATGTCCAGCAGTGGACTATTAAAGGCTGCTTATGATGATGATGATGAGAGCAATAGGCTAGCACCCTATTACGTAAGGGGACTAAAATTATTGTTGGCAAAATAAGGGTGTTTAAAACAACTCTGTCTATCCCTTCAGGAATAAAGATGTAGGTGTTTCTATATCGGACTTATTGCCTGTAATAGTTCTCTCATTGATGCAAGTTAAATCTAAGATTATTGTCCTGTACCGGGACCTGACGCAGACTAAGTGGTAACCAAATAGGTTAACACATTGCAAAATTAAACAATCCTAGCCAGGTCAGTCTATGGATGGGTGACCACTCTTAACACATTGAGACCTCTCCGTGCCTCTGAGAGCACGCTAAGCCCGACGGCGGTCCCGGATGCCATGCGAACATCTGTGGCAATTGTTACGAATAGTTGGAGACCTAAATAGTCCAACAACAGTATTTCTACAGAACTTCGATATCGCCTAGTACTTAGGTTGTGGAGGTCTGATAAATCGAAGTTCAGCCGTATCATAGGAGACTTAAAGCAGACTCCAACCTAGTTTGGGGACAAGGCTCAGAGGTGGGAAAGGACTAAAATATAAATCATTAACAACTATCCAATATACTTACTTTTTTTTCTTTTTTATATCAACTTGTTTCCTTGCAGATTGATTGAAGTGTCGCGAGGCAGTTAAACTGTACCTACATCTCGAAAATTATTAATTGTTACAAGGTTGTACCGAAGTAATGATATTGAAATAATGGATCAGTACAAAAAGCGCCCAGGTACGTCTGGCATAAGTGGACAACTTTATGAGACTAAACTCATAAGTTTGATACTGTTTAGACTGTTACACAACGAAAATGTAGAAGACTTCCTTCTAGCCTCCAATATGGACGAAATCGGGGCATTCGATGATGTTTGTCTTAAACTAAAACTAAAAGATCATGATAGACATTTTCTAGTGTTAATTCAAGCGAAACACAAAGAAAATGATGCAGCAACACTTGATGATAAAAACGAATTAGCCAAATGGTGTGAGAGCATTACAAAAATTAGGGAAAAGTACAGTTGCAACAAAAATAAGGATCTGTATTTCAGTGGTCAATTTAACGATACAGATTGCCTATTCATTGTATACACGAACGCTAAATACGATTTTGGTAAAACTGTTCCGAATAGAGTTTTTGAGAATAGTTACGCTAACAAATTAAACGATTTGATATCAACTGGTGCCGTTGGCTTGCAGCCGAATTATACCGATAAAGATGTAGAAGATTATAATCTAATCATTTTAAATGAAGAAATGACTGTGCTAGCTGAATATTTCGAAAAATATCTTCATGATAATACTTCGATGAATATTATGAACAATGAGTATATCATAAAATACCATGTCATTTTAAAAGAGAAAGTTGTAAATGTGTCTGAAATCCAAGAAAAACGCGGATTGAGATGTCGAATATTATCATTTCAGGATGACTTCTTCAAACCCACCGAGAAATATTTTGTACTATTTAGAAAAGATTTGTACAAACATGTCTTGAAAAATCGAGATAAAATAAAATGTAAAAAAACTTTGAATGCGTTAATATCAGCATTCTTAACTGAACCATGTGGGGCTACATTGAGTCCTCTTATTGAAAATCACATTACGTACAAAAATGAGAAATTGACATTTCTTATGAAGAGACCGCAGTCTGAGATAGAGCGATTGGAGCAAATTAATATTTCTGTAGAAACGATATATGATACAAAAGCAGCTACTGCAGCAAATATACTAAAGAGTCTTGCATTGCCGGTACCAATCGCATTCGGTAATATAGACTTGGCGATTAGAGGTACTCCATCAAAAATTGAACAAAGACTGAATCATCTGACTAATTTCATGGTGGAACTACTCGAAAATGCCGTCCAAACCGAACACTATAAAGTAATCACTATTGATGACAATATTGACGAAGGACTTTTGAATTCAAACGGTGGTATTGGTGGCGGAGTCGGTAACATTTTAGATTACGACATGATTACAAAACTGTTTAAATTTACAAGTGACTATGAATCACTTCAGAATAACGCTAAATATTTATATTTAAACCTTAAAGAAAGATTTAATAACCTCGATGAATACAGATTTGACGTGAAAACACTTAAGTTTCCAAAACTATCTCTTGATTATAGCAACATGGCGAAAGATTTTTTAAGCAGACTGCTTATCTACGAGAAACAATCTAATCATTTTGAAGTTGAAGTAAAATTAAAAAACGAAATCAAAGAGTTTCTGATCTCTAACCCACAGAGCGCCTCGGTAGATTCTGATACAATTTTCATACATTATCATCACGTAATTCTAAATTGGTGGTTATCGAGTACCACAGAATCATATCTATCTAAGGAGAATAATAAGTTTCAACTATCTATAAACCAAATTATAAAAGAACCACAAATGAGTTCACTCCAAAAGACTTTCTACATCCACAAAATAAGAAATATAGATTACTGTTTCACCGATGACGCCTTACAGTCTCTAAAGTCACTGAATACTTTGTCTAGAACAGTTATTATTACAGACATAACTACCTTAACGACTATGAAAGTTATTCAATTATTAAGAAACCGAGAGGATAGCGATTTGGTCATTATAGATTTAGAATATGTAATGACTCTAATGACGATACATTTCTGTAAGTTAATAGAAGAATTAAGCAAAACAAAAAAGCTTGTCATTATGGTATGCAACAGCAAACAAGATACTGAGAGACTAACACAACTCGAACAAGCAATTGCAAAGCTAAAACTTATTATAATTACACAAAAACTATTGATTGAAACTGTGAACAAATATTTTTTGCCTACAGAAATAATTTATGATGAAAAACAAAGCTTAATTGATCTCACGCCGGACTCAAAAAATGTCCTCATAAAAACTGCTGAAGTGATATTTCAAGACGAAACAATAGATTTGGAATTGCTGATAGACGACATATCGGTCAAGTTTATTAATAGAACAGTTTTGAGTAAGATAATGCGTGGTGAAACTCTTAATATTGGTGGCTCTCTGAGTAGTTTTAATTACGAGGAAATAAAGAATGTATACATTAATAGAAAGGTTAGTCAGACTACTGTTCTCGATGATAATATAAACCCTATGTACTTTAAGGCTCATGAGGATTACTTTAGTATATATTCTAATGAAAAATATGATGATCTTGAAAGAAATGTCCCTCTAGACACATTTATCGATATTAAAGATCATGCTGTACTTATAACAGCTCCACCAGGTATGGGCAAGTCTACTCTTCTAACCCATTTATCAATCAAAACAAAAGAATTCGATAAAACTCTTTGGATAGTGAGAATCAATTTATTGGAACATTCTAAGCAATTCTATAATTGGCAAGTATGTGAAACTGACATGGATTCTATAGAAACTATGAAATTTATATGTCAAATTATATTGAAGAATCACGACTTGGAAATAAGTTTAAAAGAAATAGATAACAAAATGTATTTAGATGACTGCACTAGCGATGAGTGGGCTGCGTTTGTACTAAATCTGTTTCTACATTCTTATAATAACGGTAAAGTGATATTTTTGTTCGATGGTTTCGACGAGATTTGTCCAAATTATAAAGACTGTGTCATCAAGTTTTTTCATATAGTCAAAAACTATCCTCAGAAAAATAAGATGTGGGTTACAAGCAGACCATACTGTGATATTTTACCAGATCTAAAAAGAATTATAGGTAAATCTTATGGACTGGAATATATTAATGAAACGGAACAAGAAATGTATTTAAAAAAAATATGGAAATACAAATTAAAATTCGACCAATTTACTAATATTCAAAGACATAATGCTTTCTCTTTTATCAATTTTATGTCAGAAAATCAATTAATCAACAATAAAACTGCCGATTCCTTACAGCTCAAATTACGTGAAATTTATTATCTGTTTAATAATTACATTCTTTTAAACATGCCACCAGTTGATATAGATTCTCCGTTGTATTTCGATCAATATAATTCATACAACTCATTCGGTATCACCGATAAAGATAGTTTAAATACAAATAATGAAACAAAATATGTATATGATGCATTTGGTGCAGCGCGACCTATAAAAGTTCGTTTACAAGATGAAACTTTGTTAAGATCCCCGTTACTTATATATTTAATAGCTGATTATTTTGTAAATCTAATATGTAATAAAACAAAATCCTATCAATGGGACCCATACATCAATGTCCATAAAATTTACGAGATGTTTATCGAAACTAAACTCAAAAAAATACTTTTTGAAGAGAAAAACAAAATGGATATATATAACCCCGATATTATGGACAGATTTAAACAAGATTTAGTAGACTGTAGAATACTGCATATGAAATTAGCTGCGTGTCTACTTTTTGGGAGTCCAGTATTTAGTACAGAAAGTTTTGAAGAATTTGAAAAGATCGATCCATTAATGCAAAGAGGTTTTGCTGAACTCGATCGTATGATAGACATAATAAGAGCAGGTAAAGAAAGAACAGGTCTTATATCACACCTAACTGTTGACAACTTACCAGTGTATATACATGCAACATTTACGGAATATTTTGCCGCAGAATTTATGTGCGAGGTATTTGAAGCAAAAGTATTTGAAATAACTGATAAAATATTACTATACTGTGCACTAATTTGTTCGTACAGCTGTGAGCCTATTCTCGCTTGGATATATGGTAAGAGGAAACTTAATAAAAACCTAGATGAAATTATTAGTCATATCGAATCCCAGCTACCCTTTATATCACATTGGTACCGAGAGCTTTTCTACTGTGATGGCTGGTCCCGCAAGCAGTCTATACGATTAATGGCGTCATCAGAGAAAGATTTTGAAAGTATTGATACGTTTAAATATAATGAAGATTATGTAGAAAAATTGAAAGCATTGCAACCAAAGGAAAGAGATATGCATATTCAAAAGATTAGGGAGACAATTGTTCCGAATATGAAGCCCCATTTAAAGAAACATTTTATAAAAACTGACGATGCGGCGTGTTCGAGTACTAGTTTAGATATATAGAGAAATCAATAAGTGCCTAAACCTAATAAACGGCTAAATTCATGGCTTCATGGCTTTATCCGATCAATATGGCAATAATATATAAAAAGCGTTAACGCCTTCATGAGACAAAGACTTTAGAAACATAAGTGGCTATGAACAAGCAAAAATAAAGATAAATTTACAGAAGCTGTTAAAATATATGTAACTTCTCGTTTAAATATTATTTCGTTTAAAAAAGATTTAATTTATATATAATTGAAGATTTAATAGGACTGCACTGATGGCTTAGTAATTTAAGAGTTCACCTGCTTCCTACTGCACTTTGTGTGATCCACAAATTGTTGTTCTGAGTCTGGGTGCTCTTTGTGTCCGTTTCATGTATGGGAACGCGACTAAGGAAATATTCCTAGTGTGGGAGCTGTCTTCTTAAAAAAAGAATAGACAATTTATAAAAAAATCGACCAGAAACTAATTGATTTTTACAAACGATTTCGATATTGTTATCCCCTACACCTACAACTACAAGTACGCTTAGTGTTATTTTCTATTTCTAACTCAGTGATAACGTTCTGCTTTAAATAATTGTAATATGTACTTTAAACTTAAATAGATAATACACTGTTGTTGTACACAGATAAGTCAGATAACCAACGATCCATATGCGGTAGGCGATAGGACGGCGGCCTGCTCGCTAAAATGAATTAATGTTTCTGTATCTAAAAATAACAATAATTATTGTTGATGAAATAAAATTTTGTGAATTTTACGTTTGTATTTCTTACTTCAAACTCATTTATGAATAAAAAATATTGCTATCGCTCAAGGTCATATTATTAGCCTGGCCACAAAGGTCATTCTACTTCAGTTCCTTATCTTGCTGTATGCTGCTAATTTCTAATGTTCCGTACAGTTAACTATAAGCTTCGGACTGTCAACAACAGAGAGGAAGGATTGAATAAAGTGATTTTTTTGCAAAAGTTCCATCTCTATTGAAGCGGTTAGCATACTACTCTTGCAAAAACTTCCCAGATTCAGCCAAATTTTACTTTTCCTGCATCACACGAACAAAGGCGGCAAGGAGGAATTAATTTGCTTAACAAATGTCAGTCATTTTAAACAAGTTTTACTATATTGCCCACAAGGGTAGGTATTTAGCAAAATGTCTAGACATTATGATTAATACGCTATATATGATTATGATTAATATGATTAATACGCAGGCCGAATGGTAGGTCAATTAGGATGCATAGCAAGCCGATAGGCAGACCCGACTGTTGTCGGCATAAACTCAATATGACTGTCCTACAGATAGACAGGTCTGTGTGCATTTTAGACGCCTATTTGCTACCAATATCAATATAAAGAACTGTATTGCACTCCTTCTTCGCAGGCTGATCTCTCAGACAGTTTACAAATTGCAATTTAAATCATATTCCAAAAATAACGTACCGTGTTTACATGCAAAAGCCATTTTTCAGACATGTACACATACTGCCAAAGAAAATCTCAAAGCTGCGCTAATATTTGTAGCTATTTTCAATTTTTTTGTACAGTCTAGCGTAGATGAACCGTTTATTATATTTCATCATCCATTATTTATGCTGTCCGTTGGCAAACATTAACTAATTTTGTGGGCGGCCATTTTATTGACAGCGTTTACTCGTGACTTCGTCCGCGCAACGTTCAATAGTCGTATTTCGCTTTCATAATATTATACGAAAATAAATTTCAAATATAATATAATGTAACACGGCTTCCCTTTCCCTGCATACTAACATCTGTGGCCATCGCTACCCGTAGCGTCCGTCCGATGATATTATAGTTTTTACGTCAAAATATACGTTCTATTACTGTTTGGCTGTCTCACTGTCTCGGCTGACAGTGAGACAGCCAGACAGTAATTCTGTACAGGCAGTCTGTAGTACAAAAGCGTAATTAAGAAACTACCATTCACATATGCAAAATCAGATAAAATTAAAGATTATCATTAACATCGTACCTTTTCATTGTCTTTAACTAACCTTAATTTGGCAGAAAAAAAACTGCAACAATGTAAATTATTAATTAAGATTAGGTTTTAGTCTTAATTAGGTACTACAATTTAAAAAAAAAGATTCAAGTTACAGTTTTCCTGGTAAAGCATGTATCCCACAGCATACATTGTCAAATGCTATTCATTCTATGTGTAATATGTATGTATTTACAAAAAAAAAGTATATATGTATTTATATCAGTTGTCTAGTACCCATAGCACAAGCTCTGCTTAGTTTGGGACTAGATGGCGTTGTGTGAATGTGAATAAAAAAAAAAAAAAAAAAAAAAAAAAAAAAAAAAAATGCACAGGAAAGTATGGACCTAATGTAATGTGTACCTAATGTTTGGTTTTGTATGCCGCGGCATACAATACCAAATACAACATAATAACAAAACTAATCATAAAAAAAGAGAATAAAATAAAATCGTCACAGACGTGTTGAAAACGCATAGAAAAACAATATCAGAGCATTGACCTCTTACGTGATAATCTAGTTGACAATTTCTAGAACCTTTGCCAGCAACGAAACACAGACAAACTTGGCATTTCATTTACATAGCACTTGTAAGTTAAGAGCAAAACCTACATCGCCCTTTAGTGGTCATACATAGTATAGATAATTATCGACAAACGTAGTAACAGATCAAAATTATATACGAGTCCCTTAAAGTTTCATGTAGCTGTTTTTTCATATTTTTAATTTATTTATTTTATTTATATGTACATCTTCTTCATCGTAACCGTGTGAGCATGAAAAAAACCTATTATTTTGACATTACAAACAGACATTTCAATTATATTTATTTGTATAGATAAACTTACATATGTTTAACTTTCTAACAGACTAGCTGACCGCGTAGCTCCGTCCGCGTCTTGAAAAGGAATAAATTTTTCGCGTTTTTGCAACATTTTCATTGTTGCTTTGCTTCTATTGCTCGTATCGTGATGTTATTTCACCTATAGCCTTCTTCGATAAACGAGCTATCCAAAATTTAAATTATTTTGCAATTCCAAGGAGTAATTCCTGAGATTGGCCCATTCTACGAAAGAAACCAACTCATCGGGTTTATAATATCAGTATAAATATCATTTTAAGAAGTTTAACTTTGTCTACTCTACATTTAAACATAAGATTTGCCAAATATATATGTGAAGACAACTCCCGCGTTAGGAATTTATCTTGAGTCGCGGGGGACTTTAAAAGCATACATACGTGAAACGGACACAAAGAACACCTAGACTCAGAACAACAACTTGTGGATCGCACAAAGTGACCGGGTACGTTCCAGCCTGCAGATATTAAAATTTCAAAATAAAAAAAATGTCATTTTATAGATCTCAATTAGCCCATACGACCTACGTAAAAACTACCAAAGGCACATAATAATGAATCCAATAGCACTGAAAAACTTCCCGAAACAGTAATATAATAACTTTTAAAGTCCTTCCGTGCGTGTAGCATCAGCTGATCTGCAGTTGACGATGTGAGTATCACCTTTATTCTGTCGCGCATGCGCAATGCGCAAATAATTGGCTGGGAAATGCCACGACGGTTTTTTATTGTTTACAATAATAATTATTGAATATTTTTAAGAATTAGCACGCGGGCAAATTAAATTAGCGCAAGGGCAATTTTTTCACGCTTGGTAGAGTAAAAAATATTCATTTTTCAAAGAGATATGGCTATTTTAAGTAGAGGAAAATTGAAAATTATATTTCTATTTTTTCCTGGGTAAACGAAAAACGGGCTTATAAATTAATTAACGTAGGTCGAAAGGGCTAATTGAGATCTATAAAATGAGATTTTTTTTATTTTGAAATTTTAATACTTGCAGGCTGGAACGTGCCCGGTCACAAAGTGACATCCCATGTGGGGTACGGACCCACAACACTCAGCGTAGCAGTAAGTAAGTAAGTAAGTAAGTAAGTAAGGCGTGGCGACCGCTTAAACCACTACGCCATCCGTGCAGTCATTTGTTTCAATACGTGTATAAAGAATTTTCTTCACGTGTTAATAGATTAAAAGTGTATTAACATATAAATATACTACTTACTACCAGTTTACCTGATACTAGGCATGCCTTTTAAGTTCAGTCGTTTCCATATTTTCCGGCAATTTTGGATTTGGAACTGTTCTATATTCGAATGTGTTTAAATTTTGAATCCCAAAACAGTTGAAAGTATTAGGATTAATGCTATTGTTTAGTCACAGCGAGTTATGTCCTTGTAACCAATGCCATCACATAATGGCCTTATTGTTAATTAGGATATTAAGATAAGTGTCATGCACTTCCTGGTAATGTCACACAGGAAACATTCGTTTTGTATACACAATCCCTTGTTGTAAGAATTGTAATTAAGATAAGCTTTTTATTTAAAGTGTCATATCACTCCTGGTAATGTCACACAGGAAACATTAGTTTTATATAAACAAACCCTTGTTTTAAGAATTGTATTTAAGATAAGATTTTTGATTCAATAAACAGTTCTGAATTGCTCTACAAGCGGAGCACACGTCTCTAGTGTGTTTTTAAAAAGCCTTTCGCCTTCGCCTACAACCTAACTAGCGTCGACTGAAATCTGTCAGGTTACGTACGGAAATAAATCTTTCTAAGGAAAACTTTCGAGCAATAATTTTCTACAACTTTAGAAAAGGCCTGACACGGCTTCAGTGTTCAGTGACGAAGCCCCATGTCTGCGGACTGTCGAACGCTGGTATTTAGAATTCCAGCGTGTAAATGCTAGTGTTAGTGACAAATCTCGCGAAGGACGCCCAAAATCCGCCTTCACTGAAAATAAAATAATTGCTGTGAGACAACTAATTCTCGAAGATCGTCATGTGACGTATCGAGAGATAGAGGCTCTATTAGGCATCTCAGGGACAACCATTCAAAAGATCTTGCATGAAGCGCTTTGTGTGAGAAAGCTAGTTTGCCGTTGGATACCGCATCTGCTTTCCGACGATCACAAGGCGGCCCGCGTC